GGGCTCTGTAATTATCTCCCCCATTTCCAGATCACTCTGCCACTGGCCAGAGACAAAAATTAGATCCAGTGTATGTCCTCCCGTGTGAGTGGGTGCATGAACTAATTGGGTCAAGTCCATGGTCGTCATGGAGGCCAAGAACTCCCGAGCCACCGCTGACGTTTCGCCCGCCGATGGCAGGTTGAGATCCCCCATAACTTATGTGTTAAAGAAAAATACATAACTATAGCCTTTAATATAACACCCTCCCCTCCAAAAAAACAGTAAATAATTAAAATGTTCCAGTTGAGCCTATGTTGACAAATGAATCAGCTAGCATGTTTTCAGCTAAAGCCAGGGTATGGGCAAAGTACTATTGTATTGCCAACATGACTTTCCACTTTTCATTCAAAGTTTCACCATTTAATTTTGAACAGGATTGCTAACTCTCCCAACTAAAATTGTTAGTGTCTATTGTATTTCTGCTATAGTTTGAGTCTAAGCTCTTCTTGATACAAATTAGAACAAACTTTTTAGATAGGTTGAATTATTTTACTAGAACACACTTCCAGTATTGTTAGAAGATATTGGTGCACAATGGACAGCTGTTTTAAGACCATATCTGGCTCTCAAATCCTCTGTGCTGCCTTTTTGGGGGGGTTGATTATGACTGTAAAAAAAATGGACAACACAATTTCCTGCTGTTTTGAAACAGGAAAGGGTGAAAAACTGAAAAACCAACAGCTGGAATAATTTTTGCATACTTCTTAGCTATAACATTTAGGATGTCTAGAACACGACTCCCAATTACATTTTATACTTTAGAAAAAATATGCCCCACAAGAAGCAACATTTAGACCAATTACATTTACTCACTTTTATTTGGTTTGCTATAGCAGTATTAGATATTGCTGTAGTAGCAGATGCATTGTTCCCCATTCTAAAAAAAAAACCATTGCAATGAATGTTACAGACTGTTTATAATACAATCATGTATTTGAAGATCAGCCTTACAACCAATTACATTGGTAAATTTCATAACAGTAGCCAACTAAGTGGCATAATCTTTCTGGATACATACAAAAGCTAATTTTGATTAAAGCCTTAGATTAACAGGACAATTAAAAATTACTATATCATAACCTTTTAAATATATATATATATATATATTAGTAACCATTTTAAAGAAAAAAAATAAAAAAGATAAAAAGTGGTAGTGCGAGGCATGTACATAGATTTACAAGTATCACTGAAAAAGTTTTTAATTTCATTACTGTAATTACAATATAAATGGTTGATTATATATAAATGACTGTCTATATAATATAATCTTAAAAACATATCACCATAAGACTTTATAAGGAGCATAAATACCAGGAATTGTAGTTAAAATAGTAGAGATCATAAATTATCTTAAGTAATAAATTACAATATATTTTATCTATACAACTAAAATCTATCCAGATTTAAAAGCTCCTATAAAGCTGAAATATCATGTAAAAAGCACCAATTTTTGAATGTGACACAAATTAACATAAATACTGTAATCTAGAAATTGTTTCCCAACTGAATTACACTCTATTGCATTTACTTTTAAGATATAAATATTTTGGATATCAAAATATACAGTCTTTCTTCCACAGAGGTAATCAAATGTCCTGTTAGTAAGAAACAGTATAGTTGTGGCAGTTAACAAGTACAAATCAAATTCAGTATACTGCATGGAAAATTAGGGTTTAATAAAATTCAGTAACAATATTGCAGGTTATACAGTAAAGTACATAACAGACATATTAAAACATATGCTAGACCTAGACGTATTAATACATAGGCAGCTCTAACTCTAAAAGTTGAATACTAAACAAATAACAATTTATGACAAAAAGAAAATACAAGCTAGACTCCATAAAACTACTAACGATGGTTAACTCATAAGCATTATAGATTGTAAAATCAGAGAGACCCATCACCAAAGCCAGTATGAAAGCCACACTTCTAGAGCAGCAGCCCTATTTGAGACTCAAATAAAAGTGTGAAAGCCCAGGAGACTAAACATATGACTACAATATGCATCTCAGCAGCCAGGATATTCTGTAAAATAGCATTAGTTTCCCCCCTCAAAAGCACCTTTGTATGTGAGGGAAGGATTTCAATATAGGATCATCCCCAAAACCATCATATATGTGTGTGTATGTGGGTATATGCATAATGGTATTTTTGAGAGCTGAGTGCAACAAAATTTCATTTTCATGTATGCTGATTAGTGTACCTTACATTTAAAGTGACAACAATCCTATTCTATTCCCATTCCTATTCTTTCTTGGGAATGGGGGCTGCTAGCCAAACAGCTGCACATCAGCAGTTGAGCAACTCCACTGAATGGCTTTTTGTTTTCTGTGCAGAACAAGAAATGTCCTAAAGTTTCAAAACGAAATCCTGGCCGAATATACAGTATTCACTCGCATACAGCACAGGTTTTATTTATTCACGAATAAACACCCAAAAAAGGACAGTAAGAACAAACTTAAGAACAAACCTTATAGGATACCAAAGGTGAATGTTACAAAAATCGATACAGCTAATCTCTTGCAAACTGCCTTAACTCGCAAAATAGAACAAAGTAATATTACAGCATCTCTACAAGCCAAACCACTGGAATCAAGCCACGCTGCCTTTCGTTTCCCGCACAGCCTGCCTGCGTTTACCAACCTGAGCACCCAAACCCTCTGCAGCGCCCTCACAGCCATCAGCCAAATGCGAACAGCAGCCCCCGAGACTCCGCCTCCGGAAGACGGGTCTGCTTCTCTTCCAGGGCCCTCAGCAACAGGGGCTAACTACTCCATTGCCTGTTTGTTTTCTTTCCTTTTGAAACGCGACTGCCCTTCGAGCGTTGCGCCAGGCTCTTCCTCACGTCAATCACGCTCTGTCTGACGGTGAGCGGTTGAGAGAGCAGAAGGGAGGCGGGACGCAGTGCTGAAAGAGAACAGCTCTCCTAGTTTCTCGGTGTACCTAATGAAGGGGGAGACGAGTCGTGGGCGGGGTCAAGGAGTGTTTTTTGTTTTTTTTGCCCCCCTTCTGAGCGCAGGCGCAGACGTAGGCGGACTGGTAGGGTCCTTCTGACTCTTCTTCCTTCTGCGCGTGCGGTAGCGGCGGCGGCGGCGGCGGCGGCTGGGGTTGTTGGTCCGTCGTTCGGTCGGTTAGTCGGACGGTCGGTTTGTGTGCCTGACAGTCAGGCGGTGAGGCGGCTGTCGGAGAAAGAGCGCGAGAGGAGGAAGGCGCGAGGGAAGTCACCGGAGCGGGCGGTCTCCCGGGGTCTCGAGGCCAGCGAGCGAAGCAGGCTGAGGCGATGGCGGACGTCCTGAGCGTGCTGCGCCAGTACAACACGCAGAAGAAGGAGATTGTGGTGAAAGGCGACGAAGTGATCTTCGGCGAGTTCTCCTGGCCCAAGAACGTCAAGACCAACTATGTCATCTGGGGGTAAGTCCGCGAAAGCTTCGCCCGAATGGCGCTCCGGATGGGCAGGGGGACACTTTAATAGGGAGGGACCTCTGAGCAGCGATGGTCCTGCAGGATCGGACCAAGAAGCTTTTCCTGCTCCGCCGATGGTTCCCCCCCCCCCCTGAGAGCTGCTCCCAAGCCGTCCGGGAACGCCAGGCGGGTTAGTTTGCCCAGCCCTGATTAACGCTGTTGCCGCCTGGGGCTCAGGATGTCGGAGGTGGTGTGTGAGGCCAACAGCCAGCGTTGCCTTTGCTTTTTTTCTGTGTCTTTCTAAAGCCGATCGTGGCCGCACCTGCTGCCTCCAGGTTAACTAGGAAGTAGTTCCCCGAAACGGGATGTGGAGTTGGAGCGACAGTCAGGCATAGCGCTTGGGAGACACGTGTGTGGGGATGGGCGGGGGGGGGGAAGGGGAGAAAAGGGAGGCATTCTATAATAAAACCTAGTCAAAAGGTAATGGATTTACTTGGTGTTGTTTAAGGTGTCAGAGTGCAAAGGATGGAAGTGGTCTCTTGGGTAGGGTCCGTGGAAAGACCTGAGCAGATAAAGTGAGCATCCTGTGTGTGGGTTCTCTTGGAAGTACCTCTAGTCAACTTGGACAGAAGTTGTATATTCTTTTATTAGCTGGGAGTTTTGTGTTCTGTAGCAGAATGTAAAGAAAGATGCAAGAGGTCAGAGCTTGAAACAATATATTGCTTGCCACAGTGGGTAAATTGTGTTTTTGTATGTTTCTTTCTGCCTGGGTGTATTGTGATAGTAATGGCTATCCCCCCCCCCCCAAATGGCCTTGAAAATATAGTTGAGGATCCAGGAAGAAAAAAAAAACCCATTGATGTTTGTTGCTTTTTATGCCCCCATTACTTTTATGGAACCTTTGAAAGAACAGACAAACCGCCATTTTTTAATTAATACAACTTTTCACCTGTGATCCGCATAAACAATTGGGGTGATCTGGATGTTGTTCATCTTATAAGGACTGCCATCTGTCAATTAAGAACTTCATGTACTGTTTGTAGAAGGAAACAACACTTTGGTCTAATACAACTTTTCTGCTGGCTATGATAGAAAGGTAATTTACCAGTAAACTTGACATTACTCTTTGTTTTTATAATTTGAACATTAGTAACAATTTGTAAAGTTTTGTTAGATTCGGTTAAAGCTTATGTCTCTTTTGCTGATAGTCTACCATGTCTCTTTGAGAGCCTACAACAGGCTATAGGAGCCATTAGACTTTTTCTGTTAGACTTTTTTTATTCTTTTTAGAACATTTAAAAACATTTTTTTCATTGATTTATCTCCACAGGGGTGTGATTTCTGAAAATTTCATCTTTTTTACGTATTTTTCTTAAAAGGATAGCAGTTGTATATTTGAGTGCTTTTTGAAGTTTCACATGCATCTATTTCATGATTTGTTTTCAGTAAGCTCTGGGAATTTAATATCTTGCCTCTACTCAATTTCTTTTATGATTTAATGTTAATAGTAGAACATTACATATAATCAGTTATAAAATTATGAACCCCAAAGTTGAAAAAGCCTAAAAACACAGATCTATCTCTTTAAATCCAAAGGAGTTATACAAAGGTACCCAGAAACAGTCTGGAGACTCAAACAGGAATGTTTCAAGGATTCATGGCAAAGCAAGAGATTAAAAACTTGAAATGTTACAAAGACTTCATTTTACATAGGGCAGGGGTGTCAAACTGCCGGCCCACAGGCCGGATGCGTCACGCCAAAACTGCTCCCACCCCATTGCTGGCAATGGGTAAAAAGTTGCGATATGTCGCGACACGTCACATGACGTGAGTTTGACATCCGTGACAGGGTGATTCAGGCATCTCCATATTACTATATATGTTTGTGAGTTACATGACTGAAGGGAGCTCCTGATCTAGAATGCATGTATTTTGTGCAGGCACTGTTTTTTGTTCTGTATTCTCAAATACCTTCCCTTTATGAATTTATTTTGTGAACTGTTATGTTTTTTCACAGCACTGATTGAGCTGTGTTCCTGGGCTTGATGCTATACTTTCTGTTCTTTAATTCATGAATACTGCCAATAAGCATGGTGTTTGATTTCTCTGACAAAACTCGGGTAGAAGCAATATTATAAAAAGCAGTACCTGAGGAAACTATGACAAAAACTAAATTTGATTTTAGTCCTTTTAGTTTAAATTTAAAAGAAGTAGTGTGCATATATAGTGAATATCTTCTATAGAAATATAGTCATATAATCGCCCTTTTTGTATTAAAAACCTTTTGTGGTCTCTCTGAGCTTTATGTTGCTCGGATCTTAGGGTTCGAATTCAGAAGTCCCCAATCTTTTAGGCACCACGGACTGGTTCCGTACAGAAAGGTTTTTCCGTGGACTGGAGAGCGCATGGTTTTGTATGCTGCCTGCATCCTGCAGATGGGGCTTTGCTTGTTTGTGTGGACCAGTTGCTAGCATGCCGTGGCCCAGTACCGGTCCACGGAGCGGGGGTTGGGGACCCCTGTTCTAATTTATACATATACATGAACAATTAAACCAACTTAATTATAGGTGGCTTATTCTTTTTTAGTAAATCCCCGAACTTGACATCCACAATTTTTTCTAGAAAAACTGTACCATTCTTTTCAAACTTGCCTTTTCACTCTCTGTTCTAGATAACTAGATATAAAGTCTCTATATATCTAGTTATCTATAAACTAGATATAAAATATAAAATATATAAAATATCTCTAATATTTTTTTGCTATTATGAAGATGTTGCATTCAGGAGATTTACATTCAAGTCTTGACTTTGCTGTTAACTCACTCGGAAGTTTCTGTTAACTATTTGTCCCTTACATTTGTAATATAGGTACAATAATACCTGCCTATATATCTGGTCTCTTGTGAGATTGACCAAAGTATGGCTGCTGTTCCTTATATAATTGTATTCAATTCTAAATATGAACAAATTTATTTGTTAGTTGTAAGTCTTTCCTTAAAAAAATGAAACTTTTTTTAAACAAACAGTTGCAACAGTTAGTCTGAGATATGAAGAAGTCTGGACCTAGGCAGCCTAATGCATTCATGACTGAGCAAGATTTTTGAATTAAAATGTCTTCAATGTTCATTCTGGCATTTACCATTTGGTATCTGCAGCGTGTTTCAGTACATTTTAAATCCCTTCTGTTCTTAAACAAGATAATGGAAAAGATAGATGTATTAATTGGCAAGATTTCCTAATAAATAATAGATTTATTATAATTGGACTTGTGTTCAGTCTATTTTTATTATAATCATTGATTATATCTTTGTCATATGTATCGCTTTTCCAATTGATGAAATTACAAAATAAATCAGAGCTTACAGTGAAAGAAGAATATTTGTTTTTGCTGTATGCTCTGAAAACTGTAGGTTGTTTAGATTAATTAAAAGATAAGATTAAAAGGTTCTTAAATACTCAGTACTCTGTCAAACAATTTTTTTTCTTTCATGTAGTGTTTTTCTTAAGTTTGCATTCCAAGACTCAATATATTTTTTTCTATTTCTCTGTCAAATAACTTGGTAGGAAACTTAAAACACTGCGTTTTTTTCTATGTCAGATTTTTCTTTTTGTTGCTGATTTTCCTTTATATCCGTTGGTAATGTCAAACTTGAGAACATACAGTAAAATTATTTTTTATTAGGATAAACAATAGCTCCTGTGGGACCATGGATTTTACTTATGTGGCAGCTTCAAACATTGTTCCAGCTGTCTGTGTGTATGCATGTACAGGCATTTCTGCTAAAACTACCAGTGAAATAACTTCACTTGGACATACATAGTCAGACAACCAGTCTTTGAAGCTGTAAACTTTTCTAAATATGCAGCTATTTTAAGGAAAAATTCTTTGCTTGTGTTTAAATAATTATTTAGCTGAATTTGAATCATTTGAAATGAATAGAATTTAAGTCATGGTAAATTTAAAATAAATTAAGTTTAGTCAATAAAATGTTGATACAACCAAGTATACATTCAGATTTTGAACCTGTATTTATATTTGCAAATTTAATATTTTAAAAAATTTGTCTGCATTTTTAAAACAAATAATCAAATGTAAAACTAGAAAATCATACAAAAACAAAACCACAAGCATTTTGTTGAAGTTAATGTTGAAGTGATCCAGTGTTGGATACAGTAGGACTTAATTATGTAACCTAGAAAGTAACTTTTCAGCAGAAGTTGCTGACTCCAATGTACATTCTGATGCTTCTAGACAATCTTGCTAATAGTTCTGAGGACAAATAAACATTTTATAGATTATAAATTTATAATTAATGGTTTTTCCCTCTGCTGTAA